AAAGAGTGTGATTGAAGGACAGGAAAATAAGACAAATGTAAGAGTGTAGTAAGTAGGGCTGATTGAATAGGTTTCAGGGAGTATATATGAATTTCACAGTTTTGATCGTCAAACTTTTATGGTATTTTGACTAATTGTTACAGACAGAATCTGATTATCTGGAGAATACTCAGCTACTGCATTAATTCTGTTGAATCTGTGTTATTGAGTCTATTTTTCTTTCTTTTTCTGTTCAACATTCTTAATAGTATTTTGAAAGATACCTTTAAAGCTCCATCTTTCAGTACGTCAAGCGTGACTAAAGAGATTAAGCTACTTGTACAGCAAATGGGTTATTTTCCGGAAACAGAGATTCTCTTATGCTCTTGTTCTTTTAGGGATAACTTAAAGGAAGGGACATGGGGAGCTAATGGAGTGGTGGAGGAATATCAGTTGAGCTTGAAGCTTAGAACAGTAATTCCCAGCCAGGGAATCACCTTGGGTTCTCAGCACCTTGGCTTCTGTGAGATCCTTTTAAGAGTGTGGTAGTTTGCAATGCAGAATTTGCAGTTAGGTATGCCAACACCTATGTCATTAGCTAGATAAACTCAGAGAGCGCATCCACACATGCGAGCATGTGTGCTTGCAGCAACTCAAATGAAGTGGTGCAAACTTGAGCTGGGACTTTTTGCCTCAGCACATGTGCCCAGACATGCACTTTGTTGTGGAACAAATTGTGCCACTTGGGGCAAAATAACCCTTCCTGGCTCCTCACAGATCTGCAGCTAGGGGGAGCTAGAGCCTGGGGCCAGCACCTGTGCTGGCTCCAGCAGTATAAAAACTTGCCCTGGCCAGCAGCTCAGGGCTACTTGTCCTTAGGACCTTCTGAGGCCCAGTCACTTGGTATCTGGGGACATTAGCCCCCTGCTGAAGCAGCATCCCAAATTCACTTTTTAAAATACCCCAAAATCCACATTCTTCCACAATTATAACAAAAGTGTGTGTGGGGGGGGGGGAGATTGATCAGATGGGCAGTGTTTTACTGCTATGTTTACAATGTTTAAGTAATTTGGAAGCCTACCAGTGTCTCTAACATCATAATAAAACAAATCCTAAATATCTATGTGTTTTAATGTTTGCTTTTGGTTTCCTTACACATGATGGGTGTTTGATACGGAGATGTGGGGTTTGCAGGAGGGGGTGGGAATGGGGGGTGGGGGATGTGAGTCAGTGTGTGGGTAGGTGTGGGGGCTGCTTAGTAGGGGTGGGTCCCCTGCATGAACGCTGCATGCCTCCCGGTGGCTGGGGGAGGGGTACAGTAGGGCTGGCGGCAGCGGGAGCATGTTGGTGGTGGTAAGCGGGGAGCTCCTGCAGACGTCACTGGCTCTGGTGGCAGGGGGAGGGGTGGTGAGTGCTGACCTGGGGGTCAAGGACTACCCACAGATGCTGCCAGCAGGGACAGCGGTGGCCAGTGGCAATCGCTGACTGCCCACAGATGCCACCGGTGGCACCCCCTTTTCTGAGGGGGTGCACCACCACGCTCGTGGACTACCCTGCCTGCAGGGTCCCAGCCTCCTCCCCCGCTGGTCTCCAGCCGCCTGCTCATTCCTCCGGAGGCTGGAGATGAGCAGAACACAAGCAGGAGGCTAGAGAGAATAGGAGAATGAGCAGGAGGCTCATTCCCCGTGCTCCCTGTTTGTTCCCCCAGCTCCCCACTTGCTCTCCTAGCCCCCCTACACTTGCTGGCAGTAGCAGAGAAGGAGCAGGAGGCTGGAGAGAGCAGAGGAATGTTTCCAGCACATGTCCAAGGGCTTGTCTCCAGCCTCCTGCTGGTTTCCAGCCCCCTGCTCGTTCTCCTGCTTGTCTCCAACCTTGGGAGGCTGGAGAGAGCATGGAAATACCTCCAGCATGTCTCCAGCCCCCTGCTCATTCCCCTAAAAATGAGCTGGAGACATTCCTCTGCTCTCTGCAGCCTCCTGCTCCTTCTCTGCTACTGCCAATGAGTGGGGGGGCGGGGGGCTGGGAGAGCAAACAGGGAGCTGGGGGAAGGAACAGGGGGCAGGGGGAAGGAACGGGGAGTTGGGGAAAGGAACGGGATGGGCGGGAGTTTTAAAAAGTAGCCTTATGATGATTCTTCATTTCAACCTTCGTTATAGAGAGGTTTTTACATATCAATTTCTAGCTGTTGCAAGATCTACCAGTTTTCCTTATTCAGCATTTTATATTTTCTTAAAGAAGATTGATTAATAGATGATTATGTCGTTTCAAGAACATAAAAAGAACTAGCAGTTGGATAAGATTAAAAAATATACATACTAAAGGAAATGTCTTCTATTGAATAGGAAATGGTCTAGACCAGGGGTATGCGGGGGTACTTGGGAAGCCTCCAGGGGGTACATGGTAGCGAAGTGTGTGTGTGTGGGGTGGGGGTGGGGCACTTCCAGGTTTATCACCGGCACTTTCAGGCTTGCCACCAGCACTTCTGGTTTTGCTGTCAGGGACTTCCTTCCCACCCCCCTCCACCCCCTTGTTCGTCGATCGGCTGGGGGACTCCCTGCTTCTGGACTAGCTGCCGGAAGTACGCCAACCAAAAAAGGTTGAAAATCCCTGGTCTAGACTAGGGGTGGTCAGCCTGTAGTCACAGTTGACATGGACAGCTGCTGTGTTGCATGCAGCAGGTCAGGGAGGGAGCACCACAGCAGATGGGGCAGGGAGCAGAAAAAGTAGCAGATTGAGCAGAGAGCACAGGGAAGGAAGCAGAAAGTAGAACAGCAGATCAGGTACGGAGCACATGCCTAGGAGCAGAAAGCAGAGCAGCAGATTGGACAGAGGAAGGGGATTGTAGTGGCACTCAGAGAGGGTACAGGGCTAATTTATGGCACACCTGCCAAAGAGATTGGTTTCCACTGGTATAGACCATAAAACCAAAACACCTGGCCGGGGTCATTTGACCCCAGTACTCTTTCCTGCCACAGCAGGGGGTTGGACTTGATGATCTGCTCAGGTCTCTTCTGACCCTACAAACTATGAAACTATAATGATTCTGTCTTAAGGATTGCAGGGAAGACAATTAACATTCTTGATCCATACTTGTTTTTAATCACGAGATCAAGCAATCAAAATCTGTATCACCCAGTCTTTCCTGATAGATCTAGAAAGAGATGAACTAAACTAGGGAACAATTTTTGATTTTATGTAAAACTGATACAGAAAGTTATCAAGACCCCCAGTATGTGGCTCTTCAAAAACAATTTACTCAGAAAAGACTTGGATTATATTCAGGCTACCTGTAGTTTACAGAGAAATAAGAAAGCTTGGTGGATCTGAACATAATACTCCTTTTGGTATGCCTGTATTGAAATGGCTTAAAACAAAGCAAAAGAACCCTGAAGCACTGCATGTCAGTTAATCAAATCAAATTCAAGAATTTCCTGTACATATTGAATGTTTTTGCTAAAGATGATCTTACCAGAATAACAGAAAAATGGGACATTTGTTATACCATAGTAACCCTGTGTCCTTACCTGCACAAAATAATAGTTTGGTAAGTATTGCTGTTGCATAACAATGCATTTTATACTGTTAATTTTATCATTTATCTGTCTTGGAAACTATTCCAATTGATTCCTCTGGTCTGAATTTGAGATTTAAAAATGTAATGAAGGACATTGTCTCTCAGATACTTTCTTGTGAAATAACTGCGTCAGTTATTCTGGCCAATGATAGCGGTACTAGAAATGAATCGTTATTTAAATACCATATATTCTTATATACAATGTGCCCCCAAGTAAGATATGCACCTTATTTTTGAAAGACAGAATGAAGGAAAAAAAGATCTTTCTTTGAAAATACTGGTAAGTAGTAGGGGTGTGCAAAGCAGGCCCTGTTTGATTTGGATTTGGATCCAGCTGAAATCAGGGATAGTGATTTGATTTGTTGATTCAGATCACTGTCCCAGATTCAATTTGGCCAAATCTGAAGATTCGATGCTGATTCAGAGAATCAGGGATTTGGACGTAGGCACAGCTTTAAAAGTTTTTCTACATACCTTGAGGTACCAGCGTGGCTCATGATTGCTGTGATGTTGGGGTGCATGGAGCATCATGTAAGAGTGAGGGGTGGCCCTCCACATGCTCGGTAGCAAACCTGGAAGGTGTGCTGGGGAGCCCCCCGGCTCAGTGGTCAGCCGCAGGGGGACCCTGGGTGCCCGCCCCCCCCGCTCCGCCGACCCAGGAAGCACCAGTCGCTGAGCTGGTGGGGGGGAGCCCAGCACGCTCCCCGAGGGACCCAGAAGTGGACCATAAGTGCTTCTGGTCCACTTCTGGGTCTGCTGCCGAGCGTGCTTGGGAGCCCCCTGCGCTTCTGTGGGACACTCCATGCGCCCCAGCATCACAGCACTCACGAGCCCCTGCTACCTTGAGGTATGTAGGAAAAACATTTAAAGCTGTGTCTATGTCCAAATCTCCGAATCTTTCTGAATCTCTCCGAACTGATTCAGGTGGTTCGGATTCGATTCAGAGAGATTAAAGGGTCCTCTGATTCGATTTGGATTCAGAGATTTGGCCACCGAATTGGGCCGATTCTCCGCCTAATCGAATCAGGGACTGAAGCTTCACACAGCCCTAGTAAGTAGCAGTAAATGAGAAGCAGCTTCTGCAACAGGAGCCTCTGCTGGGGAGAAAGGGAAAGTGTCTGCAGCTAGGGAGCCCTGTGCTCATTATGCTGCTTCCTTTGCAACATGGGCAGCATTACTTCTGCTACCCCTCTCCTCCTTCTCCCCTCCCCCCAGAGGCTGAACTACTATTACCTATTTCCTTGCCTATCATTTTGGCTCCTGAGTTTTAGAAAAAAAGACACATGCCGTATGCAAGAAAATAACCCAATATAACCCAACATTTATTAAGTAACTTGTCTTGATACTGAGTTATTTTTAGTAGCTTTTCTAGCTCCTAAGCACTAAAATTACTTTGCCTTGTGAAACTTTATACTCTTGTAGTCTTCTTAACTTTCTTACTTTTGCTAGCTTAAGTCAATTTAGTAAGCATGAAACAGAAGTTAGTACATCTGGGATGATCTAGTTGGGGATAGTCCTGTTGTAAGTTGGGGGTTGGAATAGATGAGTTCCTGAGGTCCCTTCTAACCCTAATTTTCTATGATCCTATGCTTCTACATTTTTTTTTTTAAATATGCACCTCAAGCAATGAATTGTTGACTGAAACATTTTAAGTTAGGAGAAACCTCTCTGACTGAAATCTATTTTAACTCATTTCGTTTTGAAGAGATTTATATATTTATACCTGTAGGAAGCTTTAATGAGTTTATTTTCTTTTTTCTTGTGCTTTAGGAGCTTGTTCGAAAAGGGATACCCCATCATTTCAGAGCAATAGTATGGCAGCTTTTATGCAGTGCTCAAAGCATGCCAATAAAGGATCAATATTCAGAGCTTTTGAAAATGACCTCTCCTTGTGAAAAACTAATAAGAAGGGACATTGCTAGGACATATCCTGAACATGATTTTTTTAAAGAAAAAGACAGCTTTGGTCAGGAAGTTTTATTTAATGTAATGAAGGTAAGTCTGTAGTTTGCAGCTCTTTTTGGAAATAAGATATTGTAACACAGAGGCTTGAAACATAACTTACGTCTTTGTATTTTTAAACTTGCATCTAGTCTTTGGCAATATAATCTTTAAAGCTGTAACTTAATACAGTATTAAAATGTTTTTTGCCAGTTAGCACAACTTTTATGATGGCTTGAAATATTTGTATTCCTTTTAACCAGAGGAATACTTCATTTATCAGTGGTACCAAAAACTTAGTTGCCTCATTAGATTAAAACAAAACCAAATGCTAAATGCTGAAAGTATAATGGAATGTACTATATGCAATAGATCAAAAATGCTGTGATAGTTGACTAAAATGTGCACTAGAAATCAAAACTGACGTTAAATTTTCAAACCATTCTGTTGATCTTATGTATTGAAAGTCAGAGTGAAGAAAACATCTACAGGCTGACTTAAGATTACTATACAAGATGAATTTGGGATAAAATGTTTCCTAAAATTAGAATTTCCCTGCATTTTGTGATTAATATCACTATTTTGGGACTTAAATTAGGAAAGTAGATTCTAGACTGCAGTTTCTGGAAGTCCTTTGTCAGCAGAAACACTGAGCAGCTGTCAAATCTGAATAACAGAGTTAAATTTGACAACTCTAAGTAAAATCTAAAGAGCCAAGAAAAAGCACATGTATACAGACTATCCATGTCTTATTTTATAGTATTAACCCCTTCAGGAAGTCGTTACTAATATCTGTCTTGCAGGTTTCTCTGTGGACCAGGTTGTTGGGTGCAAAGGAGAAAAAAAATGGTGTTATCCAGTCTGTATTCCAAATTTGTCTTTGTACTCTCTTCCTAGAGTTGATAAACTCTTGTTGAGGAATGCACACTTCTTTAAAAGGGGGTTAGAGAGAAACCCTTGAAATGCTTCCACTGTCCTGGTTTGCAGAGCAAGGAACTGTGTTCAGTCCCCTGCAGGTCACTGGCTGGCCAGCCTTTACTTCTGTGAGATATTAATATTCAGAGATGGATTGGATCTACTGAGAGTCAGATTATTTTGTTGAAATGTCTAGCAGGTGGAAGTCAGCTATGTTGGAGAGCAAATAGCTCAGGCCCATCTGGTTGTTCTTGTATAGTACTTTCAACAAGGAAACAGCCTGGCAGTTTTGAAACTAGTTCTTAAACTGGCTGATATTCTTGTAGTGAAGTTGAACTGGCTTCTTGCAACTGTTTATGTGACAGGATCTTTGACATTTTGACTAACCCAGTTAAGGGGTACAAATAAAAACTAATTGAAGGCACACCTTTGAGTGGTGGTTTCAGTAGCTTTAGAAATATGGTAGATCTGGGGCTGTGCTTTAGGACTTGCTCTTACATTAAAGTTTAAAAACTTGCTTGCATTTACAAAACAGCTACTAGGGATAAAAGTGTAAGTGGGTTATTAATTGTTGCTGTTCAAAATCTTTAAAGCTCTTTATCTTCTAGGCTTATTCATTAGTGGATCGTGAGGTTGGATACTGTCAAGGAAGTGCTTTTATAGTTGGGCTGCTGCTTATGCAGGTAAACGGAGCATTATATTAAATATTTGACATTAAAGGTTCTACATATGCCAGTATAGTGTTCTTAAGTGATTAATTTTCCTTTTGCATCACTTACTACAGTGGACTGTCTAGATACTTTATTGGGCAAAGGTTTTTAAAGATGCTGTACAAAATTGAAATGATCTACTTCTAGTTTTAATTTACTTGCATGTTACCTTGCTTTTGTCTTTACTAAGGAACATCTCATTAGAAGGAGTGACCTTTCTTGCTGGAGAGGAGAAATTTACTTCTTAGTTTTTCTCAGAACTTGGGGGAGACCTTATCGTCGCAAATTACTTCAGCATAGTGTTACCTCAGCTATGTATTAATTATGTATTTCAGCCTTATTGGGCTTACCTGCCCTCTGACTATGAAGCTTTGCTTGAATTAACTTGCCAAACTTAAACTCTCACCCATATTTCACTCTAAAGACTGCTTTAGCACTCTACATTAGGTTTGTGTTGGCAAAAGGCCAGAGACCAACACTTATAATAGCAAAATGAACCTGAAATGATCCAGTGTCTTCTGGGGTGTACCACAGGAAGTGATTAAGGACCTTGAAAATTTTTAAAAAATTATTTGTATTGTGCCTTTTTGTTTCTAATGTAGATGCCAGAAGAGGAAGCCTTCTGTGTGTTTGTTAAATTAATGCAAGATTATAGACTTCGAGAACTCTTCAAACCAAGTATGGCTGAGCTGGGCCTTTGCATGTACCAATTTGAATGCATGATACAGGTACATGCAAAATTGGTTAAGTGTATAGTATCTGATGTACTTGGCTATTTGTAGGCAGATTTCAGTTTCATACACATACAAAATATTTTTTGCAGATATTTGACAAAGCCTTTGTGTATAAGCAGTGGTTAAACAGATGAAAACTGAAGGGAGAGTTTTATGTTAATCAAGGAGGAAGATGATCAGTGCTCTACTTTTAGGAGGGATCTGGGTGGCAGTAACAATCTGCCTTTTTAAAAATAATTTATTAAAAGTTAAGAGCACAGAAATAGCCAGGCCAGACTAGCCTACTTCCTCATGCCATTTCTCTCCCAATGGCTAATACCAGTGATTTCAGAGGAAGGTGCAAAATATTCCATAACAGATGCCAAAAATTTGCTTTCTAACTTCAGGGAGACAGTGATTGACATTTGTATTGTAATGTAAGGATTTGCATCCTGTACTTTCATCATCTCCAGTGTAAATGTAGATCAGGGTGGGCAATTATTTTGGATGGAGGGCCACTTGATAAGTTTTGGTGATCTGTTGAGGGCCGCAAGGGTAGCCTTGCCCCTTGACAGGTGCTCCGCCCCCTGGTCACCATCTTGGGACCAGAAGTCCCACTAGTCTTTGCCAGCCAGTAGTCCCTCCCCTTGCCCCCAGAAGTACTTCTTTTGGGAAGGGGGTTTGCCATCTTGGAACTGGAAAAAAACCCAAATTATACTAAAAATCAAAGCATTGACAATAACATATTTTAATTTTATTTAAAATATATTTTTGTCCTGATTTGTGTGTGATTCTGTGGTGTATATAGAGGTGATTGCATAAAAGCTCAAAATGAAGTCTTGAAGGATATGGGATTTGTGGGGGGCTGTGTGCGTGTGTGCATGTATGTATGTAGGGTGTGGGGGTATGTGTACATGTGGGTGGGTTGGTATGTGGGGTTGAGGGGTGTTTGTGGGGATGTGTGTGTGGGTATGGGGTTTGTGGTGTGTGGAGGGGTGGGGTGTGCATGGGGGGTGTGCGTAGCCGTGAACGGGACTCCCCTTAAGGTGCGGGGTATGCGTGGAGAGGAGTGTGGGGTTTATGCGGGGAAGGGTGTGGGTAGGTGTGGTGTTTGTGGGGGGTGTGATTGTGTGGGGGAGGGTGTGGTTGTGAAGTTTGCAGGGGAGGGTTTGTGGGTATGGTGGGCTGCACGTGGGGGCCCCCCCCCCCCCCCCCGAGCTGGTCAGCACCCACCCCACAACAGCATGGAGCCTGTGTACCCTGCGGTATGTCCCTGCCACCGTCAGCAGTGTGCAGCCCCAGCCCCACCTTCATGCCTGCTCCGGACTCGTCCCTGCCAGAGCAGATCAGCCAGAACCCACACACACAGCCCTGACCTGACCTGCCCCGTGCCTGCTCTGCATTGCCCACCCATGGTGCATTCTGCTGTCTCCTGAGCACAAAGTAGCACTGGGGCAGCGCTGCAGCTGGATTGCCTTTCTAAGCAGCCCACGTGACAGCAGCTCCTTCTGGCTGCCACTGCCTCGGGCTCCAGCCCTGCAGTGCTGCACAGCTGTGACAGGCTCACCTGCCCAGGCTCAGCAGCGGCGGTGCGGGACAGAAGCTGTGTCTCAGTGCGGGAGAAAAGCAGCTCCTCCCCCTCACTGCTGCGCAGCATTTCCTGCTGTAGCCATCTGGAGCCCATGCTGTGCTGCCCTGCGTCTATTCTGTCATCACCGCCACCTCCGGGCTACCTAGCGGTGGCAGTGCAAAGAAACTGGAGGGCAGCACAGCACAGACTCCAGGAGGTTGCAACAGGAATGGCCAGCAGTTGGAGTGGGAGGAGGAGGGACCACTTTTCCCCCATGATGAGCAACAGCTTCTGTCCCATGCTGTTGCTGCTGAGCGTGGGCAGGCACGGAGCACATGGGGTCAGGGCTGTGCAGTGCAGGTCCCCACCAGTACTGTGGGGCTGTGGCCAGTGGTGGCAGCAGCTGGAAGGAGCCGTTGCCACCTGGACTGCCTAGAAAGGCAGTCCAGCTGTGGACCTGCCCCAGCCCCACTGCATGCCCAGGGGGTGGCAGGACATACCATGGGCAGGCAGGGCTTGGGCCAGGTGGGACCAAAGGACTTGCTGCAGGCTGGACAAAGACCCACCACAGGCCAGATCCACCCATGGGTCATATTTTGCCTACCCCTGATGTAGATGTTACCCATAAAAACTTTTATTTCCTGTTATCCTCTTGGTCTTGTTTTCTTTATTGAATATCAGTGGGGGGGTTTTCCACCATCAAGACCATCAAGAAGACTTTGTTGGTCTGTCTGTTTATTTATTATATTCTCCTTTCTAGGAGCAGCTACCAGAGCTTTATGTGCACTTTCAGTCCCAGAGTTTCCATACTTCAATGTATGCTTCATCATGGTTTTTAACAATCTTTCTCACAACTTTTCCACTACCAATTGCAACAAGAATATTTGATATTTTTATGTCTGAGGTAAGTAAATGTCTACGGTTGACTTGCTACTACAGCTGTTGCTGCCAAGTTCTGTCATTTGGGTGGCGGTATACATTCTGTTTCGCTAGATGAGTTTCAAACATGCTTGTATATAATTTAATAAATGTAAAATTGAATTGTTACGAAAACAATACATATTTAATGAAGAAAAGCAGTTGTATCTTTGGTGACTGTGTAGCACAAAGTGGCATATGGATGTTTGATAAAAAGCAATGAAACACTTCATTCTGGTGCACGCTCTGGATGAAATGGGCAATACTTACCATTTCACAACTGAAACACCAGACTTTTAGTAAAACAAGGTCATTCAATAGGCAGAAATGCTCCTTTCAAGTAAAAGTTAAAGCACATTGAAGAGAATAAAGCACAGACAGAGGCTACAGTTACTAAGTGAACCTGTATGTGTCCTGAGAAATGAATACAAGGAAGTATTCTTTGAGGCTGTCAGTCTGGTGCCTGTCACAAATTCAGAATTAAAACTTTGAGCTCTGTAGGTTTTGGTTTATTGCAGATTTTTCCCATTAGATGCCATTCCTTCCAAATTATGTTAGGTGCCAAGGCATATGGCCCATCAGGTTATGGCTAAGAATATTTAAAAAAACAGTAAATGGGAGTCAGATATTTCCTTATAGCTACCCAAGGCTGTCTTAACCGTTACCTGCTTAGCTACTGAAATTTCAAAAATGTTAAAATACAATTAAAATGCATTTCAGGAAGCACAAGTATCCTGTTTTATGTAAGAAATATTTTTGCATAAGACTTTGATAAAGTCTGCCCAGATAAACCCTCTTAAATGAAAGAGGTCAACCTTTGCACAATTAAAATTACCTCTTCTGAACTAGCAGTGACAACTCCTTGGTGTAGTTCAGCCTCATTATATAAATAGGATGATGTGAAGGAAACACCAGTTTTTAATGCAAAGATGTTCACTAGTGTTGTTAGTACTGTCCAGTATGTGCAGGGCTAACTCACTGTTGCAGTATGTAAGCTAGTTATTGCATTGTATTATTGACAATCCCTTAAATAATGGATGAAATTTATTTTTTAAACAACTTTTATTTTCAGGGTTTAGAGATAGTATTTCGAGTAGGTTTAGCAGTTCTTCAGATGAACCAAGCAGAATTATTGCAACTTGACATGGAAGGGATGTTACAGGTAAACTAAATTTACAATAATACTGTTAAACATTCATTCATTTGCAAACAATGATATATGTATTTGTCAGTGCTAGTTACTTGTAATCTTGTGCTTTGATTTGCTTTTAGCACTTTCAAAAGGTCATTCCACATCAGTTTGACAGTGGTCCAGACAAATTAATCCAAGCATCTTACCAAGTCAAATACAATGCAAAGAAGATGAAAAAGTAGGTATTGTATTTTGGTAAAAACAATATTTACTGTCAAAAGTGACTAATGTTTTATGAATTCTTAAAGATACTTGCCCATTATTTCAGTTTGAAGTTTTCTGTTTTAAACTTCCTTGTATGTATTGGTATCTAATTCACTTCAAGTGAATATAATGTATTGTTTTACAGGGACAGTGATTCTTTTGAGGTAGTAATTACTATGTTTGCTGATCATTGTAACTAAAAGTATTATATCCCATGAATAAAAATAATTCAAAACACTGCAGAAAAAAACTAAAATAATCACAATTATATTAATGATCAAAAGCACTTTTGTAAACTTGAGAATATGAACAGGAATGTGAAAGAACCTGGTTAGGAGAAAAATTAAACTAATTAGAAGATGGGTTAAATCCTTTGATTAAATGATTGGGGTTTTGAGAACTGGTGAAAATATTCATACAGTAATAAAGATAGTATGTTGACCAAGAGAAATATGGTTTATAATCCAAACAGACAAAACTTTGTAATACTAGCTGATGGTTGTAAAGATAATTTTGGCTTGCTGTTTAAAAGCCCATGATGTCTGTCACAGCTACAGGGTTAGCTGTACCACTTTCTCCCTTTGGATTTCATTTGTGTGCACCCCCTCAAGTGTTTGGTCTCCTGCCTTTTTATTTCAGAGAGGAATTCTACATTTCTTCCACTCTGTCTACAGTAGTCTGAGCCCATGCTGTTTTTATCCAGCACATTTGACTCTGTCTAGATACTTGCAGTTCTTCTTTGGAAGTCCATGGTGGTTTGCTTAAGTTCTGAGCATTGTTTATTTTAACAGTAGGAGTGAAGTTTTTAGAGAGGATTTTGAAATGGTCTATAAATATATCTTGCTTACAATTCTTCTATCTCCTGCTGGTAATTTTGGAAGTCTCAGTGTCCTCAGACACCTTGCAAGGTGTCAAGGGCCTCAGTCCGTTTCTCCTGTTGGTTATGGGTATTCTTAACACAAGATGAGTCTTTTCCAGTGTTTCTGCTACCTTCTAATGACAGTTTTCTTTCAGGTTAGAAAAGGAATACACTACAATAAAAACTAAGGAAATGGAAGAACAAGTTGAAATTAAAGTAAGTCTGAAGCATCAACATAAGTGTCTCTCTGAAGAGGAGATGGTTTTTAGGTTAAGGGGTAGTAGTTTAATGTGTGTCAGTAATGGTTTGTATAGTAACCATAAGTAGATTTCATGAGCTGCTAGAATTACTTTTTGTACTTGGACTGGTTTTGAACGAGAACCTTGTAAAGGAAATATCTTAGAGCAAGGGTGCTCAGCCTTTGGCCATGAGGTGTCATCCAGCCTGCTTCTCTTTCCAACAGGAGCCTTGTTGGAAGCAGCTGGAGGGGCATAGGACCACAGAGATGAAGATTTTTTTTAATAAAAAAGTTAGAGGCAGGGGAGTTGTGGCAGTGTTAATTGTCATTCCCCTGCTGTGTTAATTGTCATAGCCCAGCATCCCAGTGTGACCCTGTGTGCTACATTGGGTGTGTGAAACTGGGTGGCATGGGACCGGGTCTCTATGTGCAGGGCTTGCATTGGATCTGGCCCCTGGACCGGCCGCATGGTGCTCATCCAGCTTGCATGCTACAGGTTGGCCACTCCAATTCTAGAGTTCTGATGATATTATATATTATAGAAAATCATAAACAGGGAAAGTATAGTGCTTAATGTTGTGAAACCATTTTTTTCTGATGATTTAATGGATAGCTGTCCATAATTGATGAATCAGGGATTCATAATGGGTGTGGCTATAGAACTGCTGTGGAAGGCTTTTGGTAATTGTAAATTTAATAATGGGGAAGAAGCTCAATCCTTCAATTAAAAATGATAACAAACTTGAGCCATGCAGCACCTGGCCTTGAGACCTTGCTTTCCTTATGCATTGTGGCATAAGATCAAAGATAAAAAATATCTTCGCCAAGGCTTGTTATTTAGATACATTTATACTGAAATTTCTGGAATTTAACTCAAGTAAAAATAACTGAAGGGGAAGTTGTACTTTGAAAAGTCTATGCAAATGTTTTCCTTTACTGACTGACTACTCTCTTTGTATAATTTATCTGGTTCTATTAATGACAAATAAGGTTTTGCCACCTTCTGCTCTCTTTAACCTTATGGGCTCTTCAGCATAAAGTTTGAGCTGGACTCTGTTCCTTGTGTCATATTTTTCAAGCAGTTACCCAGGCAATGAAACTCAAGGTGATACAAGTGGCAGTGAGCAAAGTCTGTCAAGCAAGACACTGACTACTGATGGTAGTAATGTCTGCTTGACAGGCTTGATAGTGTGTTTAGAAAAACCCCTGAAAGCTCCATCTTATGTTTGCATGTAAATGAAGTGTGTTTTAATAGGAAAATCATTGACCTGCTAAGTATGGGATACTTCTGTTATAGTGCACTGGTCAGGTAGGCTTGCACATGAACCTTGCTGTATCACAATTTTGCAATTCAGCAGAAGGTAATCAAGAACATGATCAAGAACACATGCCCCCTTCTCTGTTTCAGGGGTTTGGATAAATACTTGCTTGGATGAAAAGATCCCTAATTTGGAGATTAGTATTTAAATTATTGCTTCCTCTTAATTTCCATAATATGCACCGCACAGACTCAGGTGAGTGAAGTACTGACTGCTTCTATTCCTAACCTCTTCAGGCAGGTGGAATAGTTTTACAGGCTAAGACTGAACCGAGGGTACATGACCAATGCTGAACTTGAAGGCTAGGTACAGAGGTTCAAAAAGCCTGAGGTGGATTTGCACTAAGTTTCATGGCTTTTTCTAAGTGTCCTAAATTAGTTCAGGAGCAAACAGAACTCGCGTTTGCTCTGGGGGTTGGGGAGGCATGCAGGCGGCCTGCACTGGCTGACAGGCTGGGGGCGCTCTCCCATGCCTCCCAGCAGGCTGCCAGAGAATTCTGAGCCTGGCTGAGCAGCTGGCCACCCCTGATTGGCCAGCACAGTCTCTCTTCCCAGCTCTGGCTCACCCCCTGCCTCCCCCACCCCATCCATCTGTCAGGAACAGAGCCCCCTGCCACCCAGGCCTCACTGAGCTTGGTGACTTAGGTCTTGGTGGGGCTGGGCCAGGTCCCCTCCCTGCCCCCCCATTCCCAGTGTGGTGGACAGGCATGTGGCTCTGAGTTATGGCTCCTGCATGCAGCTGTCAAGAAAGTCAGGCAAGAGGGTGTGAGGTAACAGAGCTCCTTTCCACATGGCCCCAGCCCCAAGCCATCATAGCGAGTGGGTCCTACGTGGCAGGGGGCTCTGTTCCCTGTTGCCCGTCCCACCCCTGGTTCCTGGCTCAGGGAACAGCTGTAGCCAGGAGTCACAGCTCAGAGCTGCACAGCTATCAGGTGTGTTGGGTGGGTAGGGGGTGTAGAGCCCCCTGCCATGTGGGGTCCCCTCCAGTTGTGTTGGCTTAGAGCTGGGGCTTTGTTTCCCCCCTGCCCCATCTGACCCTCCTGACAGCTGTAGCCAGGAGTCACAGCTCAGAGTCATGCATCTGTCTGCTGCACTGGGAACTGAGGGTGGAAGGAGGGGGTGAGGGGAAAGTGGAGACCCTGCTGCACAGACCCAGCCTGGCCTCTCTAGGGGGAGGGGCCTGTGGTAGGGCGCTTCGCTCAACCTTCCCCACTCCCAGTTCCCAGCGCTGTAGATAGGCACATGGCTATGAACTGCAGCTCCTGCTTGCAGCTGTCAGGAGGGGTGGGGGTGGATGGAACCCCCCCCCAACTGTACTGGCTCGGGGCTGGGGCCTCATGGTAGGGGGCTCTGTTCCCACACTCTCTTCATCCTCTCCTCAGCCCCAGCCAGCCAGCTATGAAGGCAGGAGAGAGAGGCTTTTGTGGCTCCTTTCTGTAACAGTATATGGGCAGGGCTGGCCCAATGCTCATCCAGAGCAGGTAAGCACCAGGCGAGGCTAGAATGCCATCTGGAAGGGGTGCCTGGGATGCTGGAGGACAGTGACTAAGGTGATTTGTTACAGGATCTGGAACAGAAGTTTGATATATCACTCTAACTTAAACCGATTAAGTCTAATACTACATCATAGATTCATAGATGTTAAGGTTGGAAGGGACCTCAATAGATCATTGAGTCTGACCCCCTGCATAGGCAGGAAACAGTGCTGGGTCTAGATGACCCCAGCTAGATGGTTATCTAAC